CTTCTACCCAGGTTGCTGACTCCCTCCAGTTACCTCCTTTGTTCCTGAGCCACCCCTGTCTCCTGCCTGGTACTGAGATGCTCAGGAGACCCCACACAGATCTCCACATGCTCAGCCCCTTTCTCACTGACCCTCCAAGATGCCATCTCGCTCACAGGAGGGTTCACAGAGAAAGAGGAAGAGGTTCCCATATTAGCACCCAACCTGGGTACACACTTCCTTGCCCGAGAAGATGTACCCCTCCTGGCTCTCCTCTCTCCTCATCTCTCCTCTCCCCTCCCTCCCTTTCTTCCTCTTTTTCTTTCCTTTCTTTCTCCTCTCCCCTCCCCTTTTTTCTTTCTTTCCTTCTTTTTCTTTCCTTTCTTTCTTCCTCTTCCTCCCTTCCTCTCTCCTCTCCTTCCTTTTTCTTTTTCTTCCTATCTCCCTTTCTTCCTTTTTCCCTCCTTCCTTTTTTTTTTTTGAAAAATAAAAATGCTGATAAGTTAAATGAATTTCTTTTAAGCCATTGTCATTACAGCCCATGCATTAAGGGCAGCCTTAAAGAGATTTACATTGCCTGCCACCGCCTCCTCCACTCTCTTGCACAGCTGGCAAAAGTCAGTGCCAAACTTCTAGAGTCCCAGAACTGGTCCACTACAGGTGAGATGGTCCCCTGCTGTAGCCACTAAGCTCTAGGTGAGAGGAGCTGAGACCCATCAGAGCCCAGCTGGCAGCTTCAGGTTGAACCAGGAAACCTGACCTTCCTGTGCATCCCCCAACCTACAAATGCAAAGGATCCTTTTTTTTTTTTTTAAGATTTTATTTATTTATTTGACAGAGACACAGGGAACACAAGCAGGGGGAGTGGGAGAGGGAGAAGCAGGCTTCCCGCGGAGCAGGGAGCCCGATGTGGGGCTCGATTCCAGGACCCTGAGATCATGACCTGAGCCGAAGGCAGACACTTAACGACTGAGCCACCCAGGCGCCCCACAAAAGATCCTTCTGACATGCAAGCCCTCGGGTGGAAGGGGTGCCCCTTGCCATGGAAGCTGAAAGTGGATCAAAACAGGCAGAAGGTCAAATGGGATAGTTCAAACAAAAGGCCAAAGTCACCACCTGGAGGTAACAAACAAAAACTGCACCAACACTGACCCCAGATCTATTCTGAGACAGCCTCCACCGCACCTGGCTCCCAGTCCTTCCAGGATAGGGGGAGGCTGGAAATGACCCAAGCGCCCACCCCCTCCAAAGGCCTAGCAGGCTTCCCCTCAGACAGCTGTCTGGAAACACAGCCCAAGGCTGTGTAGACCCCTTGCGGGACCAGCAGTCAACTATTACAGAAAGAGAAGGAGGGCGCCTGGGTGGCTCAGTTGGTTAAGTGTCTGCCTTTGGCTCAGGTCATCATCACAGGGTCTTGGATCTAACCCCACATCCAGATCCCTGCTCAGCAGAGAGCCTGCTTCTGCCTCTCCCTCTGCCGCTCCCCCTGCTTGTGCCGTCAAATAAATAAAATGGAGGAGGAGGAGCAGGAGGAGGAAAGAGAAGGAAATAAATCACTTGGAGGGGGCGCCTGGGTGGCTCAGTCGGTTAAGCGTCTGCCTCCGGCTCAGGTCATGATCCCAGGGTCCTGGGATCGAGCCCCGTGTCGGGCTCCCTGTTCCGCGGGAAGCCTGCTTCTCCTCTCCCACTCCCCCTGCTTGTGTTCCCTCTCTTGGTGTGTCTCTGTCAAATAAATAAATAAAATCTTAAAAAAAAAAAAATCACTTGGAGGATGGTGCTCCAGGGTGAGAAGTTCTTTCAGTGTACTGGGCGGGATGGGAGAAAACAACTCAGAACCCAGTGGGCATGCCTGACAAAACTGCCACTACTAGGTTGAGACCAGCCAGATTTTCAGTCACCAATCAGGGTGTTCAGGGACGTCCCTCCCCTGCGGCCTGTCAGGATTAACGTCTCCTGCCTGTGAGGCTCCTGCAGACCTCCAGCCAGCTCAAAACCCCCAGTGAGTGGTTTTCCACCAAACACCCACATAGTTATTCTGCACCTTTTTCTAAGCATATCCTGCTCTCATAGTGAAAGAATTTACACTCTGGAAATTGGCAAACACTACAAAGCGGAGATAGAGTTTTGTTTTTCTGAATGGCTGGATTTAAGAAGAAAATGAGAACATAATGGTAAGAATGCACCCTAGACTTAACTGTGTAAGGTATTTTGGGCTATGACATTGTGCAGGACACAAAAAATCTCAGGAAAAATAATGAAGAAATAGCCTTCCAGTATTACTATGACTCCACTGAGAACAATGTCACACCATGTGTGAATGAGGAAAATTCCAACATGTATCTTTGTTGTGTGCATATCTTATTTGTAATTAAAAAGGGAACTACAAAGAAACTCACATAACTCACATCAAAGAAAATAGGCAAATGATAGGAACAGAAATTGCACCACAAAAGATATACACGTGGTAAATAAACACATGAAAAAATGCTGAAAATCAGAAATCCCTAGGAAATGCAATTACAACATAGCACTACACATGCATTAAAAGGGCTGACATTAAAGACTGGCCCTATCAAGGACTGTCAGGGACTGAAGATACTACAACTCTCACATATGCCTGGTGGGAATGCAGTGGTGAACAGTTTAGATCCCATTTTGGCCCTTTCATGAAAATGTTAACACTCACCTACCTGTGACTTAGCCATTGTGCTTTGAGTCTTAATAGAAGAAAAATAAAACCTCTATCTGCATAAGGAATTATAATGAAAATATAACTTTCATAATAAGGGATTCGTTTGTGAAAGGGAAACACTGGAAATAACCCACATGCTCCAAACAGATGAAGAGATCAATAGTGGTACACATCCAGAGAAGAAAACAGTACTGTAGACTGAAAGGGACATATATGTATGACAACGTCAGAGGCGAATGACCAAAGTAAAAGGTAAGAGGGGTGTCTGGGTGGCTCAGTCAGTTAAGCATCCATTTTCAGCTCAGGTTGTGAACTCAAGGGTTCTGGGATGGCTTGTAGATGAGGATTCCCTACCTTCACAGTCAACCGTGTGTGCCTATATCCTCATCTCTTCTTATCATGAAGCGAGCTATACTGAATAAGAGTCCATCCTAATAACCCATTTCAACTTATGATCTCTATGAAGATGCTATATCTAACTATAGTCACATTGTGAGGTTGTGGGGGTTATAACTTCAAAATACGAATTGTGGGTGCACATTCAGCCCATCAGATAGGTTTTAGAGTTAATGCAAATTAAGGCCCGGGCTGGAGAATACTAATGCTGTATGTATGTAGATATTATCTTCTCTGCGACACAATAAATTTGGAATACAGTGAAATCTGTTCACTCCTCCATGCGGGCAGAGCCCAATTCTGCTTTCAAACCACTCCTTAGAGGGAACACAACACCTAAAATAACAGGTAATTAAATAAAAAAGACATCTATTGGGCGCCTGGGTGGCTCAGTTGGTTAAGCGACTGCCTTCGGCTCAGGTCATGGTCCCGGGGTCCTGGGATCGAGTCCCACATCTGGCTCCTGGCTCGGCGGGGAGCCTGCTTCTCCCTCTGACCCTCTCCCCTCTCATGCTGTTTCTCTCTCTCTCTCTCTCTCAAATAAATAAATAAA